ATATTCCGTTTTCTTCGAAAGCCGGAACAATAATTCTAATAAAACGCTTAACAATCGCTTTCAACCATAAAATTTGATTTTTTTAATGTCATATTTTGCTGATTCTTCTAACGACTTTTTGCTGTCAAAACTTACAACCTTAAAGCTCTTTAAATTTCAAGAAAAATGTATAGTTGACCTTTTTTCTAAATTAAATTAGGCCAATTTAACAAAAACTAGATCAAAGTAAAAACTTTGTATTCCATTGGAAAATCAAAAATAAAAATCGAGAGCGCATGTGCTGTAATTGGAGAGCACAATTTGCTTAATATTTAAAAATTAAAATTTGAACTCGAACGATTGAACTCAAAAGGTGCATATATAACAGAATGCATTATAAATGCATTATTATGTATGAGTCACTTTGTAATTAAAGCTTATAAAGACTTTTTCCAGAAAAAAAACTATTAAAACTCCAAATTATGATCACTTTTGTCTGATCTTAATTATATTCCAGAAAACGCGTTTTAAAATTAGTCTTCTTGTCCGGATAGCAAATCAGCACAGTTGAAAAAGACTGCCCATATCAAGGCAAAGCACGGAATATTCCGACTGCCCTTTATTTGGTCTCAGATAATTTGGTAAAATAAATATTGGCAAAACTATGAATTTTAGAATGATAATATCAAAACTTAAGTGTAACAATTTGAGTCGTGTATGGAGTTAAAACCAATTAACTGCCTCAATATTGTAGTGCGGGATAATAAAACAAGCAGTTTGAGCCACAATCATGGCAGGTTACTATAGTGGTGAGTACTCGGCTGGCCACATGCAGATCAAGAGATCGATCCGCCGAGAGAAAAGAGTTTTGTTTAAGTGGTCTCAATAAGAAAACCACCCCTGTAGGTATATATATTTTTGCTACTTCGTAATATATATATATATATATATATATATATATATATATATATATATATATATATATATCTCACTTTTTTGAAAGTCTGAACAATAAATCCGATTCAATTCAGCGGTTGTAGCGTCACCACTTTATATCGCCAAAAAGAAACATGTACAAAAAAGGACAGAAACCGAACAGGGTATGAAGACTGAGCCGCATGCCAACAAACCGCATTATCTCGAAGCCAAAAAATCCCCTGAACACGCAGCAGTTTTTATCGGATAACACATTTCTTAAAAAATAGCGTTGATTTCATTTTTCTTGAAACAGTTTTCAAATCTGTTTTTAGGAAAACAAGATGTAACAACCAGTAAACTATTTGAAGCGGAAAATCTCAACAGTTGTGATTTTTTAACTGATATAAGTCGAGTACGTTTTTGTTCCCATTATCCATCATTTAATTATAAGAAGATGATAACAATTTGTTTTAGCAATTATGGACAGTTGATGAATTCCGTTTTTGTCCAGTAGGCTATATCGAACAAAATTAACAAAAAATTTAACGCAGTAATGTTGTGCGTGCAATTCGCATCGGAACGATAAAACTCGTATTATGTAACGAGCTTTGCTTGCTTGTTGCTCTTTTTCTAGTGAGTGTTGCAGTGGGCTATATTGTTCAGTCTTTCCAGATTAAAAAATCTGGATTATTGAAAATGTTTGTTTTTGCTACTTCGTAACTTCTCGCTAATTTTCTCGTAGAAAGAAACAGGATACGAGATATCAAAGTTAGCCGCTGAAAGAGAAAATAGACAGCAGAAAATTGGAAATGAGTCAATGAACTCAACGAGAACAAAAAATGATAGATTCAAAACATGTTTCAACTTTCAAATTTCGAAGAAAAAATACATCGTGTTGAAACTTTTTCAATTTTAATTATCTTTCATGCTTGACATTTTTTTCATTCAACTTACTCAATGACAGAAAACTGGATCAATAGATATTTTTTCCGCAGGGAAATCTACAAACTAAAATCCACAATCTAAACCAAAATCAGTCAGTTTTTTTTTCGAGCAATTTCCTCTTTCGTGTATAGGGCAAAATTACTTTTCTTTTGCAAATAGAATTGAATTGAACTTTTAAAAAAATCACACCGCAAAAAATGCAAATTTGAGCGTGAACTTTTTGAAAGAATTTTTGCAGAGCAAAAAAAAACGAAAAACAAAATCACAATGACCTATGTAAATGTCGTCACAACATTCACTGACCTTGAAAAACAATTAATTCCTGCAAACACTTTTTATTTTAATTTAAATAGTAGTAGTAAAAGAGACTTCAAATTAACTATGGGGAATTACTTAAACTGAGCAAAAATACAATCAAAATTGTTATGATACTATGAACAAGAAAACATCGGCATTTCAAAGACCACGTACAAAAAACATTCAAGTTATATTTTGATGAGCATAAATTGTTCAGAAAGATCTGAATCTACCTGTTTAAAAACGAGTCTATAATTTTGTCAACCGACCACTCAACAAAGTCATTCACGACATTCTTCATCCGATGGAAAAAACTTTGAAGATAATTTATGATGATTTCCGCAGCTTCAACCTCGTGAAGTGGAAATAGCGTACCAATCGAGTAGGTTGCTGAATGTCGAAGAACTTATTGAAATTTGAGCAACTTGCGCCCAGTCGAACAGAAGAAAAAACTATAAGATTTCGTTCAATTAGTTGGTAGAATATTGGTAATGAACTTGACCGTTAGCACCATTTAAGACCATCACCATTGAAATTCTCAAAACTTCGCCCACAGAGTAACCATACAGCTGAAGTGACACCACGAACGATCTGAGAAGATTAAACTTCGCCGAAGACGGAACATTTCTCGGTACACAATGCCGAAGGTAATTAAATAACCTTCGAATTTTTTTAAACTTAGATCTGGCATGGATGTCCCACATGCTAGTATGTTCAAGGTCTAAATCAGTGCTGCAACCGAGAAATGAGATTTTGTTATTGCCGAGAAACTGTAGAGCCTGATGTTTCAAGCCAATTGGTAACACGCCGCATTTTGGTACAGTAAAATTTAGCTCATGATCGGCAGAATATACATTCAGAACATCTAAATATGCCTGCACATAGCTAGAAACAGGGGAAAGGTACGTGTTCAATTCAGAATCATCTCAGAAAATCCCAAATATCTCTGTGAGAACATTCGAAAATCCAAGAAAATCCAATGTACTCTAGAAAGTCAACTTCCAAGTCGAAATTGCAAACCGCTTTTCTCGACACCGAGAAAAAGTGTAGGCAGTTTTTCATCGTAGCTGAAATCAAGCTGCAAGTTCTATAAAATCGCGCATGACTAGTAGCTCAATTTAAGACGGAAAGGGCTTCAAGATTGTACATCACTTTGCTTCTTACACATTCCATCGAGGTACCTCATTGTTTAGGACAAAAAAACACCAGAATCTAAAGTCCTTCTCGCCAAAACTGGAATTTAGGCTATAAATAAAAATTACCAACACAATTGGAAAAGTGCCAATAAAGGCAAAGAAACCGAAAAAGACCGGTTGTTTCTTTCTAAAAACGCGCTGACTTTGAATTTCAGGAAAAAAAGATAAAAACTATTTGTGACACCAGAATCAGTAGAGAAATTTTCTATTCCGCTGGAAAACGAAATTCGCTTTCGAAACTGGTTGTCAATCGCGTATTTCGAGCCGCTTGTGCTTTTGTAATTGGAAAGCTTAATTAGCATTCCTTTTAGCAAATGAAGTTGCATTGATTTTCAAAAGTAATCAAAAGTTAAACCGCAAAAAATCAAAACTGGCTTGAAAAACTTTCCTAAAAAAAAAATCAACACGACCCATAAAGTTGTCTTCACTGCGTTCATTGACACTTCGCCTTCATTGATACTACTCCAAAAAGCATTTTTTACAATGTTCATTAAAACAGCTTCTTCTAAATATAGAAATGAAGCCGGCAATGAAGTCCGACATTTCAAATTGACCCAAACATGTGATCCCAAAAGAGGTGTCCAGCATTCGATAGAGAGCATCCGCTTACGTGTAATTTTGAATCCGATTTTAATTGTAAAAGCAGACAAGATAAACTTACTCAGAAATTGAGGCAGCTTAGACTTTGAATGTCTGTGACAAGTTCAAAAACACAAGAAAAATAATAAATTCAGACTTACGACGCCCAGAACTACATTTCAGAAGACCTCAAAGAACATTGAAGCACATAGATTGAAACAATAAAAAATCCACTAATGAATACCATGAACGGATGTATATGGGAGGAACTAAGCAAAAATCATTGAACATGTCCTGACATATCAATACGCTTAAATTTCTGTCTATTTTACGTCTTAACTCAAAGTACCATCTCTTCGTTAAAAATACACGTTGCTACAAATATAGAATTCAGGTTTCTATTGATTTTGCCTTTGCTTTTAAGGCCATTACTATAAATTATCATAAATAATCGTCCTAAAACCGTATCTTGCGGAACACTTCGCCACATTACCATGAAGTAATAATGATCTTCAACCTCAGCCGTATGATTATAGACAACCTTACAAATCCGATAATTGCATCTTCCAGTTGTCCAATTGACATTTGCATGAGGGGCCTAGGAAGGAGAGTCTTTTTACTTATTCCGCTCAAATTATCATGTCTCAGTTTATTAAAGAATAAAAGAAACGGCAAGATTGTGATTGCGCAAAATCGGTACGAAACAGTATCATAGTTTGAGAAACGCGTTCATTTACTTAATTAAGGGCTGTTGAGTTATTTTGGGCAAAATAAGTAAAACGACTCCAGGGGGGGGGGGGTGGCAGGAGGACCGCACATTGAAAGAGCGTTCTTTGTTAAAACAATGAGGTACCTCGACGGAAAGTTGAAGGAAGCAAAGTGATGTACAGTATTAAAGCCGTTTCAGGGTCGTGCGCTCGAATCTTACTACGGTCACGGTTGGAGGGGTCCCAGTTTCATCCGCTTTCTCAAGGTGGGACCCGCTGCGGTGAAAAGAAAGACATCCCCCTCCCCCACTGTTGGTCCTGCATTGAGCAGGACCGCGGGCAATAAAAAAAAGAAGAAAAAACCACACATTGAACTCACGATTGCGGGATATGAAGGAAAGCCTCTGCATTTGGCCCAGACGAAGTCCATATGTTGGAAGAGACAGTCGTCGTCATCAGTGGAGGAGTAGTCAGTAATCCTGCTCTCCCTCTCGTCACAACTCCTTTCATCTACATTACTGTCCACATTCTCCTCCTTCATATTAGAAGTGTTGTCTTCAGTTTTGTTCTTTTTGCTCGACTTTCGGTTGCCGGATGATTTTTGACCTGAAATATTCAGAACTGATCAAAAATTCTGGCAATATTTCAAAGAAGTTTGAACCCTGGCAACATTTCAGGACGCTCTTGACAATAACTTTTCGAACAACCATATTTTGAAAAATTTTGATTGAAATTTTTTATTATTAGTTGATTTTGATTATTTTAAAAATCAAATTGCATTTTTTGTGTTTCATTTCAGAAATGGGAAACGAGGATATGTTGCCAAAAATGAGGAAATAACGAAAAACATTTTAAAAATACCTTTCGTGGAATTGACTGATTGATCTGATGATTTCGTGTCTTCTATCTGAAACAAAAAAAAACTTTCAGAGCAAAACATTAGTGAAGCGCAGTTGATTTGAATTTCACTTTTTAGACAAATAATTATTCATATTATCTGCCGAATCCTTCCACCATTGAACTTTCTAAAAGAGTCGCTTAATATTTTAGCCGAAATTCTTGCACAAGCCAAGCTGAGCTTCGCATCACTTGCGATGCAGCAAGAATACGATAAATACAGCATGTCCCTCAAGACGTATCAAAGAGGAATTCTGACGATGCTACCATCTAAGAAGGCAAACTTTCAACAAACAAAATGTTATTGGAGAAAATCGCATGTACCGCCCACACATGATGTACGAGTATTATTTATGTAGTGTATGCAAGGTGGTAAACACAATTCGAAAAATATAGCCTAGAACTTAATTCGGCAATCATGAATACAAAAAATTGTCAGCATAGCAATTACGAGTATTAACTGGCATTGGTAGCCAGAAGTAACGTTTGAATGTTCACAAAATTGAACCTGCTAGCAGCACAAATGATTCAAGTGATTTTGTTAAGCAAGTCGTTAACCCGAAAAAAGTGCACATTCCGATTTGATAAAGCTTGCCAACCGCAAGTATAACACAGAGGCGAAGCTGAACTTCGCACTGTTTGTGATGCAAAAATGAATGTCTGTGAGTAACAGCAAATGAGAACACAAACCAAAAACTGAACTAAAAAAAGAACTAAAATCGTTAAAATAGCAAAAAAAATGCGAAAAAATCCTGCAACAAAAAGATATAAAGTGATATAAAGTAGCCGAACCTTCAAACAAGTCCATTCTACAAAACCTATTTAAGCCGACAAAAACAAGCAGACAGACGATAGTCTAAAATAGCCAAAAATTTTCAGTTTGCAACAAAAGGGACCGATTGGAATCGAACCCCCGGTCTTTGTCGCCTCAGACCTGGGTGTTACCACTGTCAAATGCACAGAAAGATCTTGAACTAGAATGTAAAATAAAGCAAGCAAAACACGTGTTAAGTTTTCCCGTGAGAATTCTGTGAACAAAGTTATTTACGGGAAAAAAAGTCTAATACCCTGTTGCAACACTGGCTTATCGCAGGGGTAATAAGAAGTGGAAACAGAACGCTTGTGCCAAAAACGCCTAATCTCTTGAGATTCACCGAAACTAGACAACAACTTGCAGCATTTTAATTTCTGTAGAAATTTTGGACTTTATCCAACTACTTGCTCAATATTTTTTTATCATTCTTCAATTACCGTCTTTCCTTTGAGCATCTTGGGCATGGCCAAGGGACTCTCAGTTCTGCTTGCAACACTGCTTCGCCGGCTCGGAAGAGACTCTGCCTTTCCCGCAGACACGTCGCTACTCGATTCTGATCTGCGAGACATTCTCTGTGGGGATGCTGAGGTTGGCATGGGCGGAGGTGGTGGGGACTCATTTCTCTCCACTTTGCGTTTTTTAGATCCACCTTTGGCTAAAAAAAAACAGAACAATAAATGATATCTCTTCTGCGGTGAATGCAGCAGCTGTTAAGCCGATAAGACGTCTAATTTCTGATGCCATGATGACAAGTAATTAACTTTTAACGAAAACAAAAGGTTTGTTTATTTGGGTTTGGAAGAACGGCTTACCTCAGTCGTTGAACAAATGTTATTTTTCATGTTTTCATTGTCTTTAAAACAACACGCCAAAGCAATATACCAGAGGGACATCTTTTAAACCCAAGTTGGGCCAGTCACATCTGCTATACAAGACATACATATAAATGCAGGAAGATTAAGACCATTTATCCGCGTGGGAAAGGACCAACACAAGAGCGGTTCAGCTCATCACGGCGAACCGCTATTGTGCCCCTGTTTCAGAACTACATGCAACTTTTTTTTGGTTTTTTTCTGGCCTGGGTAATGTTGCTTCACCCTCAAGCAACGATCTCGGATCATGGTGGGCCTCGAACATCCGACCTTTCGATGGAGCGGTAACCACTTCACCACCGCTCCCCTACAAATTTTCATCACCCACATCGGAGTTTCAGGGATATTAATCGAATATATAAAATTATTATTGACAGTCTCTCTGAAACTCAAAAAAGATGTACTATAATGTTTGAAAGATGGAGTATGATGTTATGATTAAAAATGGATTCTAATGCTACTATTTTTGAGAAACTGCAAAACTTAATTTATTTCAAAATTTCATTTAAATTTTAACTAGGGTTTTACGCAGGGATGGGTGATATATATCAAGTGATAAATATCATGATAAATATCATGATATATATCATGATATTTTTGACAAAAAAATCCATAAATATCAGCTGTATCATGAAATCAGGTAAATTTGACATGCCTCTTGCCTAATATTCCCATCAAAAAAAAGAACCGCGGATTTTCTTTGTTCTCGTTTACCGCCAAATTTGTTCAGTGATTTGTCTGGCAATTCAGTCTGGGTTTTTGCCGCGTTTTTTCTTCAACTTGTCATCTTCCAATTATCAACGCTGTTATACAGTTGACTGCTTTATATTTCAGATTTTGATCTTGAGTTTTAAAATGCCTGGTAGAAACCGGAAAGATGTTTGGGACAACTTTCGTCGAACGAAAAAAGAAGGCAATACCGGAGTATGGGCAATTTGCAAATGCTGCAACATCGGTATGCAAGGCATTCCAGCGAGGCTGGAAAAACACTTGGAAAAGTGTGTTAGTGACAGGGACATAGAAGTCCCGGTGCCAAAGCAGCCTAAAAAGGACGACTCTTTGAGTTCAGTTGTTTCTGTTACAAACAAACAAGAGAAGGACAAAATAGACGTTGCTCTTGCAGAGTTCTTTTACGCAACTAACACGCCGTTTCAAAGGGTCGAACATCCAGCTTTCAAGAAAGTGCTTTGCAGAAGGCGTTCGAGCTTCATCCTGATTTAGTCGCTGTCATCGCACAATTCCGTGCAAAAGCTTCACCATTTATCAAGTCGTATTACGAGGTTGCGCAGCAAATTAATCCTCACGATTGGTGGTCACTTGCCGCTGACATTCCGCAGAGTGTGAAGGATATAATCATTGGGCTTTTGTCATGCAGCCCTTCTACGGCGTCGCTTGAGCGACTATTCTCAAGTTACGGGTGGATACATAGCGAAATCCGAAATCGTCTTGGAAACGAAAAAGCTGCAAAACTGTTGTTCATATTTAAAGTTTTGAATAATGCTTGAACAACAGAACGTCCAATTCAAGTTCATTTGCAAACTACAGTTTTTAAATAGTTTTCAAGTGTTCCTATAGGCTGAGTATTTGTTCCCCAACTGTTCCCCGAGAATATCAAAAATATCGTGATATATATCAAAAATATCGGATTGATATGATATTTTTAAAAATATCAGATATCACCCCATCCCTGGTTTTACGGTAAATAAACAGAATAAAAAATTTCAGCACAGCGCAACTAGCACCATATAAAAATAGTCCCACCTTTATTGGAGTTTGCGTTGTAGTCGTGTATGCTCCCGCCGTAGTGTTTCTTGAGCCTCTGCTGCACATCTTTGTCCATCCACTCCAACATGCCTTTGTTCAGCTCCTCCACCACCTGTCGCAACAGATTCACGTGCTCCTCCGGCAGTCTGCTCTCCCCACTCACCCCACAGTCCAGAAAGTGGGACAGATAATCAACATGGTCACTGAACCTAAAAGCAAAACAGTAGGCGCCTCATATAGTACACATATCACTAAGTAAACTCTAACTATGAACACTTATTCTGACCTATCAATCTTAGTCGTTCTATAAATAATAGCATGTAAAAGTAGGCTAGCAACAGATCATCATCATACTCATCCTCATCAATGGAGTTATTTTTAAACACTTTTCCGACAGCTCAAAGGTGCATTCAAAAAGTTTAAATTTCATAAGTTCAATAGTTCAAGCGGTTCAATGGTCTTAACAGTCCATAAAAGTCAGAAAAAGATAACTCCAAGCTGCATCCGATAAGGTACATCTTTGAGGTGTAAGAATTAAATCATTGACAAAACCTTCCTTTCGACAAACAGAGGCACTATAGCATTGAAAACACAGCCAACTGACAGTTGAAAAAGAGTAATGAACGCAAGGAAACTGAAAAAAAAACCGACGTGTTTTTTCAAAAATTTTGAATTCCGAATACAAAATTAGATGACCTTGAAGCTCTTTGAATTTGTAAAAAAATTAATTATGGACACTTTTTTGTTAAAATTAACCCAATTTAAGAAAACTGGATCAATAGGTAAAACTTTCATTTCGCTGGGAAATCTGATAATTAATTTCCATTTTCAAAATTAGAAGTCAATCAAGTTTTTCGTGACCTTTACAATTTTGCTGTTAGATAGTGAGGTTGCCTTCCATTTGCACTGAAATGCTATGAACTTTAAAGAAATCACAAGTCAAACCACGAAAAATCAAAATTGAGCGTGAACAAAATTTAAGACATTTTCCAGAAAAAAAATCAGCAGGACCTATATAAGAGTCTTCATTACGTTCATTACTCTCGCGCTGAAAAACAGTTTTAAAATTGTTCTATGTAAAGGCTGATAAATTAAGTTGTGCTTATCAATTAGCTGCTCTTAGGTTCCAAAATGATTGATAGCAACAAAAAAACCTATCATTTAAACAAAAACTTACTTTTCAGGAGGTGGATCGTAGGCCAGGGCGCGTTCTAAATTGACTTTATTGTAATGGTTGATAGGGGGTGGCTTGGACGTTAAAAGGCCAGTCGAAGGATCCACACCAATCTTGTTCACGAATCTATATGTATGTCTGATGATTTTTCCACCCTGAAACGCGAAAAAGTTTTTACATTAGGAAAACATAACCAACAGTTGAAAAACATGGAATGAACGCAAGTTAACAGAAAAAAATATATAGTGGATTGTTTTTTTTGCGAAAAAATCTCAGCTTTCGAATTTTGGAGAAAAAAAAGGCCTTAAAGCTCTTCGAAATTTTAGAACAATTTTTGATTGACTCTTTGATAAAAGTGACCCAATTTGAGAAAACTGAATTGATATGTAATTTTTATTTTGCAGGGAAATCTAAATTAGATTCCACTTTCGAAACAAAGTCGATCACGTTTTTCCTGACCCATACACGTTTGATGTTCGATAGTGGAGTTTGCCTTCCCTTTAACAAAGGAAATGAGCTGAACTTAAAAAAAAATCAAAAGTCGAACCGCGGAAAAGTAAATTTGAGCTGAAGAAGATTTAAAACTTAACCTGAAAAAATAAAGAAAAAAGAAATCATCAGGACCTAAATAAGAGTCTCAACTAAGTGCATCGACTCTTAATATTTGATATTAATTAGCTTGACATAAAATAGCAGGGGTGAAAAAAATGAAGAGTAAATAATTTTTTGCTAAAAATAAATATATTATATTGTCAATCTCTAACAAAAAATAATTGCAAGTCTAGTCTCTGCTCAAAGTGTAAGTGATTGTATTTACATCCCAGAATGATTGTTCGAAAACAAAAACATGTCAATTCGAAGTGCATCGGAAGGATTTATTTTGCGACTGTCAACCAAAGCCTCTTTTGCCCTGCTGAAAGTCTTTCTGCAACGTTAGACATGTTCGAAATCCGATCCAAAAATGGTTTTCAGCAGGGCGGGTTTTGAATAAATTAATTGAACACCTACGATACAAAACACACATTGCGCTACAAGATAGTGAATGAAAAAAATTCTGAAAAATTGACGTTGCAAAAATTACCGAGCGAAAACAAGGGCGGCAAACTTTTTGAGCCAAAAAAAGCCGGCAAACAACGGTCAAAACCTGTTGAGCCGGAAACAAATAAAAAATTTCATACGTTTTTTAAGTTTTTACGACTCATCCAAACTGAAACACATAATCGCATACGGATATATGTTGACCTCGAAATTACGCAATATACATTGAAACTGGAAAAAAAACGAAAAAAAGAAAAAAAAATCAAAATCAGATTTAGTAAATTTACAAATTTTTGAAATTTCAGTAATAGTACAAAATTGCTCAAATTGGAACAAAACCCATACTTTAAAAGTAAGCCAACAAAAACCTTACTAGATAGAAAAAATGGCGTTTAAAAAACGGTAAATGAACTGACAGAAACTAGGACGAAAATCACTTAACCGAAAAAATAGATACAAGTTTTTTTTTGAAAAGATAATTACAACCTGAAACGGGCTTTAACTAATTACTAGTTAATGGATAGTTGTTTTGTTTAAATTTTCAAGAAACTGAGCATGTCAGAAGATGAAATGTGTCCTGTGAACAAAGTTTTTTACGGTAAAAAGTCCGGTTGGCAATAATTTCCTTGCATACTCCCTGCATAAATAGTCACATACACCCCTGTTACGCTAAGCTTAGAAAATTGAGCAAAGTAAGTACAGATCAATTTTTTGTTATCCAATTCTGTTTTCTTTGTTTAATCCGCTCACTAGTAAAATGTGTTCATTCGAAATCACAGCTATCATGTCTAATGGAGGATTGATTTCTCAAGCGATCCATTCAAAATATCGAAACAATGATGACAGAAAATTAAACTTATTAACAAAAACATAGCCAACAGATGATTGGAAAGGTGCCAACAAACTCAACCAAACCGTACAAACAGCAAACACTTTCTTCAACTTGCTTACCTCAATTCAATTTACAATGATTAATTGAACGCGTTGATTTCGTGATGAACTCGCCGCGCTCAAATAGGTCCAAAACACGTGCCGCACTTCATAGAAAATGCATAAAAGTGCGAACAATTTTGTTGAGTTCCAAAAAGTATAAGCATAGGCGAAGCTGCACTTCGCTGCGAATACAATCGGCAAAAAACGGCTAAACTAATTCTTTGAAACAGAATGAAAAACAGAAAAATGGTCCAAAAGATCAACATAGCCAACAGAGAGTTGGAAAAGAGTCAATGTGCGCAATTAAACAAAAAAATACCGACTTGTTCTTTATCTCACTTTCGAAATAGACTTATTTTTATCTCACTTTCGAATTTCAAAAAAGACGCCATTAAGCTCTTTGAGTTTCTAGAACAACTTATGACTGGCACACTTTCGATAAAACTAACCCAATTTGAGAATACTGAATCAACAGAAATTTTTTTTATTTCGCAGGGACATCTGAAAATTAAATTCCACTTTCGAAACAAGAAGTCAATCACGATTTTTTGACCTTTATACATTTTTGCAGTTGGATAGTAAAGTTTGGCTTCCTTTTAACAAAGGAAATGAACTGAACTGAGAAAAAAATCAAAAGTCAAACCGCGAAAAAGAGAATTTGAGCCTGCACAAATTTTAAGACTTTTCCTGAAAAAAAAACGGAAAAAATCATCGCGACCTATTTAAGAGTCTGAAAAAAAAAACAAAAATAGAGATGAATTGTGACCAACTAGCTTGCCTTTATTCATTTCTGAATTATTATTTAAGCGCATTGAAATAAAAATCAATTTGCCATAAACTTATGAAAACGGATCGCAGCTAAATTACAACATTTTTTAAAGTTGAGGTCGGACAGGTCTTTTCAAATGTCCGGGCAATGGTGTTGAAAATGTCCGGGCAATGGTGTTGAAAATGACCGGCCCATGTGAACAATCTCTGCCCTAAAACTAAATGCAAATTCAAGCATTAAGGCCTGCATGCACTTAGCTCAAATCTGATTGGCTTGTGTAATCGTTCCACCAATTATCTTATGCATGTTTCAATTTCAAGAATCTTTTATGATTGAAACTTTTTTGATAAATTAAGCCCAATTAGAGAAAATCTGATCAATAGGCAATGTTTTATTCCGCTGAGAAATCTAAAAACTAAAATCCATGGTTGAAACTCAATGCCGAAACAAAGGAATTCGGGTATTTTCACTGTGTTATTGGAGAGTCCAACTTTCCGTTTAACAAAAGAATTGGACGTGAACATGAAAAGATGTCAATCAAAGATAGAAAAACCGCAAAAAAATTAATCGTTAAAACTTTTCCCGAAAAAAAAAACGAAGAAAAACTACACGACCTAAATTAGTGTCTTCGCTAGTTCCATTGATTCATAACCGTTTAAAACTTTTGTTTAGAATACTTGATACTTAAATAGAACAGTCTTACCGCATGCAAAAAAATATATGATCAAAAAAGTTTCAATCATTATATGATGTGCTTACCATATCCCTGAGCTTTAGCGCGGCCTTGAAATATGGCGTCTCAGTGTTGTTGTATCTCATACAGTTATACACCACAAGAGAGAAGTCCCTGGAAAATTCGCCTATGGTGCAGTAGGACATACTGTCTACTTTCTTCTGCATGGTGCCTAGATCCATTGGCTCATCAATCACCACTTTGTAGTCCTGTACCTATTAAAAGATCAAAAAAATCGTTCAAAAAGAAGGTTCTACAAAATTCACTAAGCATCACGCGGTATTTTAATTGTCCACATGGTCCAAAATTTTCAAACGATCAACGTCCTTGAAAAATCGTACGGAAGGGACTGATTTTCATGCTCATTTCTTTCAAAGTTTTGATAGCTGACTTCTCAAAGACTCGTATAATTTTCAAAGAATCGGTCATTTGTGCAAAAAAGATTTACCAAGCAAAAGGATAAACCATTTTTCAGTCATGAGCTCATAACAATGTTTAATTGCTAAATTATGACTGAAAGTTCACGGAAGAATAGCACAGAGAAAAAATGAAGATATGGTGCATGAAAGAGAAAAGGCTCTTCCCATTTCTCCTAGCCCTGAAACTGTACGATGAAAATCATAGATTACTTCAACTATGTTCAACGGTGACAAAAGGAAGCCCGAAAAAATATTTGGTCCTCATTTCCGGTATGAAAGATAGCTAGGAGACATTTTTTAAAAAATTTTCTAACCAATATTCACAGGAATGACCTACCATAGCAGTGTTGACTGGCTCTGAGAAAAACTTTTGGTTGTCCAGTTCCCTCAGCTGATCCATAACCTAAACAGAAACAGTTCATGGTATTCATTCAGGACATACCTTCGATTTCGTGATCTAAACCGGTTTTTCTCGCCACTACGAAAACTCTTTCAAAATTTATTAATGTGGTTCAAATAGCAACTGCAAGTGCTATAATTTGAAATATCACTCAACCCAGTCCGATGATTATTTGTGTTAACTGATTTTGCGTGGAAAACAAAAAAAAAACACAGCCGAATACAATGTTCCTCCCCATTTTCAATGGTCGGAACAAAAAAAATCAATCGGGGAAGGTCAGATATTAACGCCCATTGATCCGAAAACAAAAAAAAATGCCAAAAAAAGAAATTGTTGTCATAAAAAAATTTGAGCAATTAAATTGTTTAAAATTTGAACTTTTTTAATACAATCAACCTGATTTATTTAAAACGATGAGAATCATTTCTTTCCTTGAACCGAACCCATGCAGAAAAAATTCACTTAACCGACAAAACATAAGCCGAAACCATTTAGGTCAAAAAAATTTCTAAGCGAAAAAACTTTTAAAAACAAACGGAAAAAAACACCAATCAGGGTAAGTTAAATTACCAACTACAGGAGTTAATCAACTACACTAGAGTCTACAATGAAAACTGTTTACAGTAAAATTAAGAAAACAAAACATAAGCCAACAAAGTATAGTCCGACCAATGAATTTTTCTCAGAAAAAAATTAAACTCAGACTTTGAAAAAAAAACAAGGCTCTGCCGGGACACAAACCCCAGATCATTGGATGCAAAGGCAAACGCATTACCTCCAGAATAAGAAGGATGGGGCCTGGAAATTGCCAAGATTAAACCATAGCCAGCAAAATTTAGAAAAAAGTGAATGAACGCAAGTAAGCAGAACAAAAAACTGACTTACTTTTTGAAAAAATCTCAGCTTTCGAATTTCCCAGATAAAAAACAGATGGCTTCAAGCCTCATGGAATTTCAGAACAATTTATGATTGACACCTTTTTGATACAATTAACCCAATTGGAGGAAATGCATCAATATGTAATATTTTCATTTCGCTGGGAAATCTGATAAATGAATTCCATTTTCGAAATTAGAAGTCGATCACGTGTTAAGTGATCCTTACAATTTCGCTGTTCGATGGTGGATTTTGCTATTTTCACGACCTGTATAAGAGTCTGAACTACGTTCACCGACTATTATAAAACACACTTCAATCATTGAAACTTGAAAAACTATACAGGCAGACCTCTATTCGCTAGTGCACTATTTTCATATATGGAGCTTATGAAAAATTGACAGTCACACAAATTTCATATATGCAAAATGTATGACTAGCAATTTCTAAGTAGCATTTTCTTCTAATAAACCGAAAAATGACAAACTTAATAATCATTTAAGGATTCTTAAAGATAAGGTTTTGGCCATATATTTCAATCTTATATGGCCAAAACCTTGTCTCACAAAACATTATGGCATTTTTATAGTGTATTAAATGTTCTATTTTTTTCTAACTTTTTGGTGTGACTAACCTGGTTGAGTATGATGTACAGTGAGGTGGTGCAGAGAGTGAACTCTCTCTCACAGGTCAGATGCCACTCCCTCTTCAGCTTCTCCCGCTTCTTCACCTGTTCCCCCAACAGTCTACTCTTCTCACACATCTTCCGAATGTCCCTCAGATTGCACAGGGTACGCTTGATGTCCGCGATCTCTTCCTAAACAAACAACTATATATTGTCTTTCTCCAAAATTAGATCACAAATTACACAACCGCATATAAAACGTATCAAACACAACAGTATCCGAATCCAATCATAAAAGCTAACACGATTCAATTATGATTGAAATCACTAACATACGAGCCGGTCAGTTCTTTTACGAAAACCCGCTATTGTCTGCCCCTGCGGAGTAGAAACCTAAATGCGTTTTTAAGTTCTTTTTCTGGGACGATGATTGTTTCCGATCTTTTTTCTGGGGGGACTTTTTTTTAGGTCGACCTCAGGGATTCGACCCTGCCGACCCAAAGGGTCCCCCTTTGGTACTTTTTAAGAAATCCATTCCTGGCCGACCGACCATAAAATTTTTCTAAAGGAGCCTTTGGCGCCAATATATACTAATTTTGAGGGGGAGCGCGCGCCGAAAAAACGCGATTTTTTGGTCAAATTTTCCAAAAAGTGCCTAAAAACGCCTTATGAGTTATGACTGGAGTGTATAACTCATAGAGTAATTTCGGATAGGGTACACCGTCTGCTCGTCACGCTATCTTATTTTCGGCCGGATAGATTCGTGCAACTTCTTAGTCTAATACCGATCCTAATCTTACTCTTATACTATCTAGTCTCAGGTTGTTTAACTAGTCTCTGCTAGGCTCAATAGATCTAGGGTATACTGGTTTATTGCGGCTGCTGAAGTGCTCGGGAGAGTCCAACTAATTTCTAAGTTAAATTCAAATCTCTCTGGTGCTGAAATTACAAGTAACTTCAGCACTTACAAATAAGTGGGTTGTTAGTTAGATGGATCATGATTGGTTAATATTAAATACTTTACATTGGTAAAACATTTAATTTATCCAATCATAAAATATAGTTTAGATCAGGTTCCACCCATCCGGGTTTTACAGAGTTTTTTAGAACAGTTCTTCTGTAATTCAAGGATGGATGATGGACGTTGGTATTTGGCGAACATCATATTTCTTTGTTTCCTTTTTGTTTAGGAAGTTCCAGGAAACTGGAGTTAGAGACATAAGACGTTGTGTTCTTCTTGTGACAACGACTGAGTCTCTGCAACAAAATCAATTCTGATTTCAGAATGGTTGGCTATGTCAGGTTTTTCTGTTCTTCAGGGAGAACTTCCTTTGTGTCTGATCTAGCTTGGGAATGGCGTGGAGATTGTGCGTGGAGGGGATGCCTGGTTACTCGGATCTGTACGTATACTTGAACATCGGGGTGGTCATTGGTCTAGTTCAATGAAGTCTTTTTCTGCGAAGTCAAGTCGTACTCTAAATCCTTTGAGTTGTGATTGTGAGCGGCATATCGATTGTAGTTGGTCATTCTCTCTCGAGTGTAGTGAGGTCGTCTTGTCTTTTGATGTTCGTCCTTGGTGTTGTATTCTGATCTATATATTGCATCATGTGATTTTACATTTTATAAAACTTTTATTAGTTTAATATTTTTTAATAATGATTTTAGTTAGTTGTTTTCACAAAAGCTTTTTGTTTTAGTTCGGTTATTTTGAAGAGTTACTCACCCTTGAGTAGCTCTTATTAAAAATAAAGGTGTGGTCACAAAGCGTGGATGTAGCGCGGTGGGTTAGGCCGGCTATAGAGCATGCTCAGGACGTCCTTCCTGGTGGGTTAGGCCAGGTGTGGGAGTATGGTTTCATGCGGTTTTTGTGAGGGGTCCTGTTATGTGACAACGTTTTATGTTGGGTTTGTTGTGGTTTTTCTTATGTTTCGTTGGTTGTGTCCTTTTTTCAAAAATCAAATTGTTTGTGGTATGGGTTTGTCTTTCGACTTTTTTGTGTTTTATTATTTCTTTCTAAGACTTTGTAATAGTCTTCAAAAGAATAATTTATCCAGTTTTAAACTGGGTTAATCCGGTTTGGGTACCGTTGGTTTCCTTTTCTTAGTCATGCTGTTATTCTATGATTTGTGGTATTTAGTAAGCTGCGTTGGTTAGTTTTGTTTAGTATATGATTCCTTTCCAACCGGGTTAAAGGAAAGTTTGAAACATGTTATTGTATGTTAGAGTTGTTGAGTGTGAAAACTTGAAACTGAAATTCATTATTTTAAACAATTCTTCGTGGGCGAGCTGTGCGAGTGTGGATAGAATTTCTGTGCGAATGAATGAAAATATCAAAAGGTTAGTACTGCAATTGCATTTTATTAATTTACTGCATAGAATTTGGAAATTTACTGCTAGTTATGGGGGAATTTTAAGATACAAATTTTCATCATAATTAGATTTACTGCTTTGGGGAAAAATATTATAGATGAATTTATTGCATTGATATTAAATTTAGAAATTTATAAGTGTAGGAGATTAATAGAATTTTAAAATTGTTTGATGAAGATTGTGATTTTTATTGTTTCTTTTGTGGTTTTTGTAGGTGATTGTCGGATGAAAGCTAAAAGTCTAATGAAAACATGAATAAAGAATGGTGAGTTTTTTAATATTTCAATTAGTTAGTTATATTCATTTAATTCATACTTACCTGTTAGTCGTCGGGGAAAAAACCGTGGGGGAAGATGTCGTGAATTAGTTCTGAAGTTGTTAGTAGTTTAGCTAGAATGCGGATGATATTTTTAGTTTGAAGCAGTGGCCAAAGCAATTGAAGTGCCTTAATAGTGGTTAGTTCTTCAGTGCCTACTGCAAACTCATAAGGTGTGTTTTGGATTAAGTTATATAATTTGTGGTTAAATTTAGTGTTGTGGATGAATTCTAAAATTGGGATTTCTATGGGTTGTACAAACTCGTGCGGGATAAGGAAGGGTCGGGATTCTTCGGCGTTGAAGGTCTTGGTGATGGGGCAGAAAATGTACATTTGGGTTATGGGATCATAATTACGAAGAATACCATGGAGGTTAGTGTCTTTAATACAATATGTGAAATTTAAGAAATACGGTGAAGTGTATTTTGAATTGATGAATTGGAAACGGTGGTGTGGTTGTCGAGAGGGTGTGTGGAGGTCAAAGTGATTTTGGATGAAACGATAATAACTGTATGTATGTGTTTGTTTAGTGCGCAACATAATATCGTGTGAGCAGTGTAAATCTCTTTCGTGTGGTGCAAGGAAATGAAAGGTTAGTGAAAAGATTTGGAAGCGTTCTTTAAAACTTTCGTATGCTTGTGTGTTTGTTAGTGCTTCTGAAATAATGTGATCAAACTTTCGGTCGAAGATGTTTAGTGTAAATACATATGGTGTCTTGATGAAAAATTTCTCGGTGATTTGTGGATTAGCGAAGCGATCGTCGTCTAAGAATTGATCTTGGTTAGCTCTAATGATGTTGTGATCGTAGTATTCTAGTGTATATTCATTAGCTCTAGGTGCAGTGTGTATTTTTAGTGATTTTTTATATCCAACGTAAGTAAACTATCTAGCGGTTAGTGGTGTAGTTAGTCGATATAGCATGTCTTTGTTTCGGTCTATATCGATGGAAGTGTTGGATAAAGGTAAGCAAAGAGGGTTAGTGAAATGATAGTATGAGGTCCAAGAGAGAGTGGGCATTAAAACGTATTCATCTACAAAGTTGCGTGTTTCGTTAGCGTCGTGAGGGGTGTTTAAGGTGTATTGTGGAAATGAGGGTAAAGTGATAGCTAAAAATTCTTTAGTGTTAGTATGGTGGGGGTGGTTGATGTATTCACGGGCTGTTCCTGGTTTTGCTGGGAAAGGATGGTTGGGGAATTTTCTTTTAAAAGTGCGGTAAGCTCTATTAGTGTTTAGTGAAGATATAGTGGATGTGGATGATGGTGTTAATGATTCAGTATAATTTGAAGAGGGTGTAGGGGGATTGGATGAATTTGTAGTGGAGGAGATTTGGTTTATGGTCGGGGTGTTAAGGTGGTAGGGTTGTTGTTGGAGGGTAATAAAATTATCTAGTTCTGGGGAGATTCGGGGGGTGTCTGGAGAATGAGATGATTGGTCAGAATGGTATGAGGAGTAGGTTGGGGTAACTTGGGAAGCATAAGAGGGTGTAGGAGTGATTGCGTCAGTGTTATTTGATAATATGGGTTGAAAAGGGGGTTGAGAAAAATTAGAAGGGTTATGAAAATTATTGGATGGGGATGGTTCTGAGTCGGCAAATTCATCGGGGGTGTCAATATTCGGGTTATTTAGCTGTGAGATGGAATATAAAACTGAAATATGTGAGTTAGTGTCGGAATTCATTCCTGATGTTACATTGCTAGATGGAAAATCGGGTGGCGGAAAAGCAAAAAGTGGTATGATTGGGATTGAAGAGGTAAGGTTGGTTGGATGGGAATTTGATCGGTGTAGTGATCCAAGTTGGCGGCTCATCGTGGGCTAAAAAAATTATTATTTTGAGATTGAAAAGCGGTGGTATGGGGCTGTTCAATAATTTGTTCATAAGTATTATCATCTTGTGATTGATGTGTCATTATATGTTGGACGGGACTTTGCGATGTATTGAGTCGAAAATTTGGATTATGTGTGATTGCTAAATTTCGAAAATTTCGTGGGACTAGGGATAGTGGATGGTTATTTGGTAGGGGTGGTAATTGTGGTGCCGTTGGCTGTGTGTCGACATTGTTATGTTCTTCGTCGTATGTATTCTGTCGTGTTGTTATTTTTGTGTTGTATTCTTTTATTTGTGCGTCTAAAAGAATTTTGTTTATAGATGTGGAAAAAATTCCAAAAAATCCTGCAAAGAGTATGCGTGCTACGCTTGCTTGTCTGTTTACTTGTGTGTGTATAGCACATGTGTTGTAGATTCCTTTTAAAAGTGAGAAAAGAAATCCAATAAAGTTAAACATTGCGTATAAAATAGTCAATTTTTCTAAGATGTAGTAGGGCCATCCTAGAAAATCGAGGATCTCATTTTTGAGTGTAACAAAGCTAAAAATGTTGATTGGTGATATATCTTGGGGACGGTATTTTTCACCGTTTAGATATATATAATCTTTAATGTCTTTAAAATATCCGCTATAGTCTTGTGTGTAGATATCGGCAAAACCTGCGGTTTCTGCAAGTTTGCGTA